AGAGAAAAGCATTTAATTCCATGCACATCAGTAAGACATTCACACCCCTGCCTGCTCACTGAAAGGAATGCTCTCTAAGAAGACAACGCCAGATTTTTGCTGAGGACTAAGTCTTTAAAAAAGATGAAGCTAGTTTAGACTTTAAGACTTTCAAATATAATAATAAAATCATCAAGTCAACAATACTACAAGTGCTGAATTTTTTTTGTGTGTGTGAGGAAGATCAGCCCTGAGCTAACATCCATGCTAATCCTCCTCTTTTTGCTGAGGAAGACCGGCTCTGAGCTAACATCTATTGCCAGTCCTCCTCCTTTTTTTCCCCCCAAAGCCCCAGTAGATAGTTGTATGTTATAGTTGCACATCCTTCTAGTTGCTGTATGTGGGACGCGGCCTCAGCATGGCCGGAGAAGCGGTGCGTCAGTGCCAGCCGGGATCCGAACCCCGGGGCCGCCAGTAGCACAGCGCGCACTTAACCGCCAAGGCACGGGGCTGGCCCCAAGTGCTGAATTTTTACAGGCCAAGATTTTGAATTGAAATATCATTACTACGCAAAACTAAGCGTTAGTGGTTGTACAATACAGATTTCAAAGAAGGGGGAGTTAAAATATGAATATTGTGAAATATCAGTTCTATTTTCTATTACTAGGTACTCTTGTGACCATTATCCTAGTAGCTAACGATGGAGCCGTTTCCTGCTCCCTGTCTACTGATCAAGCACACACACAGTGGACTGGACATTAAGGGAGCTGCTGCCCCGTGCAGAGTGCTGGCGCCGCCCTGTGGTGCAGGGGAGCCACTGCCACTTACGTACCAATCATGTCCTCTCCGTCAGCCTCCAGGCTGCATTTGAAAACTAGGGATTACACACTAAACCTTCGGGAGTTGTTTGCTAGCGTGTGGAGATCCCCGCCTGCTTCCTCACACGGAATTTCCTGGGGCTTCAACAATCAACAACGTCACCAAGCTCCAAGCTCTGTGTGGCAAGACACACAAAGTTAAATCCCGGGTCCTCCAAAGCCTTCCAGGGCAGGACGGGGCTTTAAGACCAGCCTTGCACTGGGCGATGATCCTGATCTCCTCTGCAGAGTTCATATTTTTATTTTTTAAGGTATACTTCCTCTTAAGCTAAATTCCAAACTCCTTTGTGATTTTTAGTGATGCCAGAGATACTGTTCTGCTTGATGACTGGATGATCCAGGAGAGTTATTCCTGTTAGAGGATTCCATTACACACAGAGAAGTTCTAATAGACCACTTTATATCAAAGGGTAGAAAAAAGATTCACCAGTTTCTCTGAGAGGCTTCATGAGTTCCTGGTAAACCCTTCTATGCTATTCAAATCAGATAATTATTATGCATGAAAATACTTAGAAATCCTGTCATGTGATTGGGTTTTCACATCATTTGGGTAGAAAGGAAAAAAGGAGATGTGAGATGTCAAAATATGAATCAGGAATCGTCGGAGGGAAGCATTTCATGTGGAACTATTCATATCCATCCCGCAACCAATGCGACCATGAGAATGGCCCGCAGCCCCTATCCCTAAGGTAGGAGAGCTGTCAATTCCTGGTCAAATCACAGGTTTGTTCAGCCAACACGTACTTAGTGGGTACTCACGGGGCTCAAGGCACCGTGCTAGGAGTTAGAGATAAAAGAATGAATCAAACAGATCGTCCTTACCTTCACAGACCTTTCACTATAGCCAGAGAAAAGCAAAATGATGAAGTGCTATGAAGAAAAGGTGTGCGGAGACATCAAAGGGCATAAAAGGGGACCCCAGTTAGTCCAGAAAGGCAGACAGCAGGTAACACTTCGTTGAATTGCTTACCTTTGACTGAGACCCTAGGAGGAGTTTACAAGGTGAAGGGCAGAGAGGAGAAAAGGTACCCCTGCACTGGGAACAGAGTGTGCAAAGGCGCTGAGGTGCAGGGGAGCTTGGAACATTGGTCTGCATAAATAGAGCACTGAGGAGCAGGGGCCGGGGGTGGAGGGGTGGGGTGCGGGTGGGGAGGGTGAGTGAGGTAGCGGGAGGGAAAGACAAAGGTCAAATCTGGTAAGTCATTGTAGGATTTTAGTCTTTCCAAAAGGCACTGAGAAGCCACTAAAGAATTTTAACTTAGAGACATGATCTCGCCTTCAGTCATTCCACAGGTACAGCAATGGATGGTATCACCACTTTCAAGGGCTGAGCTCCTAATCATAGGGCCCTCTGAAGAAATGGCTCAGCCAAGTCGGTGTCAGCATGGGGGTGTAATTGAACTCTTTCTTATTTGCTTTAGGGGAAAAGATGAAAAGAGGGTTTTTTAAACTAAGTCCTTCATCTTCCATTTATAAGAATAAATAAAAAGCGTTTTTCCATATGTAAGAAAAAGTTGATAGCCTCTAACTACAACAGCATAGATTTATAAAGTTAAAGTGACACTAGATCCTGTATGTATTGTCTACAGCTACTAGGGGCAGAAAGGGCCCAGAAACACAGATCTGTCATTCATCTCCTTGTTTACGATGCACCATCGTTCTCAAAAGCCTTATGTGACTTATCTAACTGCTAGAAATTACTGTCTGAGCGTGCCCTTGTCCTACTGTTATTTCACTAAACTTGTAGAACTGGCCTGATTTGCTTACTGTAAATAAAACTTTATTTGCTATGGCTTTGTGGACAATCTCTAAAATATTCTCCACTATTCCATTTAAAAGCACCTCAGAAAACAACCTGCGGTTTTTTGGCAACTAGTGGGGTGGAGGGTGGGATGGAACCAGTGTTAGCAGGGACAGACCCGGGCTTGAATTCCTTCTAGACTCTTCTTTGATTTGTAAACTTGAGGAAGTCTGTTTGCTTGTTTGTTTTTAAGCATTTCTCTGTCTATAATTCTTCACTTATAAAATGGGTACAAGAATGTCTATCTCTTTGATTAACAAAAAATACAAGTAAAGTGCCTTGCACAGAGCTTCCCATGCAGATATATGCACGTCAAAAAAAAAGCAAACCCGGTGTGTGGCACAGTGGTTAAGTTCCCAGCTCTGCTTCTGAGACCTGGGTTTTGCATGTTCAGATCCAAGCCACCGACCTATCACCACTCACCAAGTCATGCTGTGGCGGCATCCCACGTACAAAACAGAGGAAGATGGGCACAGATGTTAGCTCAGGGCCAATCTTCCTCACCAAAAAAAAAAAAAAAAGCAGTTGTTATTTGCTGCTCCTTTCTCACAAGGGAATGTTAAGCACATACCTTTAATGAAAATTTCCAGGGAACAGAGAAGGGGAGGTGGGTTTTTTGGATGGCTCAATGATTCTTTCTAAGAAGATAGAACACGCTTACATTCAATTCTGTTGCACTTTTGAAACGGTTGTGCTTTTATAAAATATTAAACGAAGGGCCCTGTGTCACTTTCTGGACTCCTCCCATTTTTCCTGGACTTGTCCCTGCATTACTTTCCAGGTCCAAAGATGACTGTTCCTCACGTTTCTGTTCAGGTGTAGGATTTTTTTTCTGGTACCCTCTGCTGACGTCTCATGGATTCCCCATGTCAGAACTTTGGAAAAAAACAACAACCACCCTGCTTTGAATGTTGAACTGCCAGGTGTTGAATAGTAGGAGCCATGTTTTGATACATAAAAAATTCAAGACAAGGATTTTATTTCGTAATATCGAAAGGAAAACTGTTTGAGTTAATTGAGTGACAACCGGGCTGCTATCATGTTCGTTTCAGTTTCTGGTGATAAAGATGCTGGGACAAGACTGCAGCGGGGAAGGAAGACGCCCTGGCAGGAAGGCTGCGCTCCGAGTGAGGAGCACGCTTGGCGCTGGGAGATAAAGCTCTTCTGGCTCCAGAGGGGGATCGCGCTTCTCTCCTTCCCTCTGCTAACCACAACCCGTCCTGTAATTAGCGGAGCAAGTCAATCCGAGCTAGGCAAATCACTGGTTTTCCACGAAATAATTATATTTCTGTTGCTCTCGGACATGTACACCTCTAAGCCTGAAAACAGAGAACGATGTTTTTCTCTTTCGTGCCCGGGGGCAGAGAGGAGAAAAGTGGAAGCGACAGTGAGGACAAGGAGGGGAACCGGTAGAAGGTGGAGAAGAAAAGGATCCCGTGGGCGCGTGGGAACACTGAGTTCTGCACAGGGAGTTCCAGCGCGCGGGGAGAACGCCCTGGACGCGATTTGATAACTCTCCGAGGGGGAACAAAATGAGGCTGTCCTAAGCTTTCCGTACCATCCACAGGGCTCCGCAGCGTGTCCCGGCTGGGCCGGAGGCTCCCCCACCCGCGGGCCCCGCTGCTCCCCGGCCCCGAGCCTGCGGCGCCTCCCCGCGCGCCCGGCGGACCGGGGTGTCCCCTGGCAGGAGACTGCGGGGGACGGGGCGCGACGCG